CCCAGGGCCTTGTGCATGCGAGGCAAGCACTCTCCCACCTGAACTATATCCCCAGTCCTAAACTCCATTTTTACATGTTGAATCATTCTTGTGTTCCTGGGATAAATCCCACTGGCAATGATATATAATCTTTTTAATATGCTGCTCAATTTGGATCCTTAGGTTTTTTTTTTAAAGATTTTTACATATTCTCAAAAAGGATATTAGTCTTAGTTTTTCCTTGTAATATCTTTGTCTGGCTTTAGTATTAGGGTAATCTTGGTCTTATATATGAGTTTGGAATTGTTCCTTCCTCTTCTACTTCTTGGTAGAGTTTGAGAAAGAGTGGTATCTATTTAAAGATTTGGTAGAATTTGCCAGTGAACTCTTAGTCCTCTTTAGAAGAGCCTACTAAGTTGTCAAGCTTGTTGATTTTCCCTCTTTTCAATTTTTAGCTGTTTTAGACTAGATTCTTAATAGTTCTAGGCTGTTACGTAATTTATTTATTTATTTTTTTTTTAGAGAGAGTGTGAGAGAGAGAGAGAGAGAGGGAGAGAGAATTTTTTTAATATTTATTTTTTAGATTTCGGCGGATACAACATGTTTGTTTGTATGTGGTGCTGAGGATCGAACCCGGGCCAGACGCATGCTAGGCAAGCGCACTGCAGCTTGAGCCACATCCCCAGCCCCTGTTAAGTAATTTAAACACAATTCTAGTGTCAGTTCTATTGACATCATAAAATATTGCTTCTTACAAGAACTTCAATTTCACTTTGTAATAAATTGTCATTGAAAACATGTTTTACATTACAGCAGAGATTGATAGGAAAGGAAGATGCTAGTGTGTTGTTGTTTTGCTTTGTTTTTTGAGATGGAGTTTCACTGTGTTGCCCAGGCTGGCCTTGAACTTGTGGTCTTCCTGCTTGAGCCACTGAGTAGTTGGGATTACAGGCCTGTGCCTCAATGCCTGGCTCAAGATGCTAGTTTTTAAACAAAAGATGTTTGAGTGGAGGCTCTTAGGTGAGTTCATTAGTGAATATTTTTGTGTTATGATATGTGTGTGTGTGTGTGTGTGTGTGTGTTTTAATGTGGTACTGGGAATCCAACCCAGAGCCTTTCCTCATGCATGTTAGGCAAGTGCTTGACCACTAAGCTCCACTGCCAGTCCTTCTATGGTGTTTTATTACACAACATCATAACACTCTGGATTCAGCTAACTAATAATTCAAAACACTTATTGTATTTGAGAACTACAAAAAAATATGTGGTACTAAGATCAGTACTTTAATGAAACAAAACGTCCACATACAAACTCTAGAAGTCAACATGCAGGATGTTTACAGAGAATGATTAGGGAATAAACATCCATGGATACAGGCTGGGGTTGTGGCTCTGCGGTAGAGTGCTTGTCTAGCATGTGTGAGGCACCAGATTCGACCCTCAACACCACATAAATAAATAAATAAATAAAGGTGTTGTGTCCAACTACAACTAAAAACAAAATATTAAAAAACACACACACACAAAACATCCATGGACAGGAAAGGGAAGATGCAAGACTGAGCAAAGGGGAGTCACCTGAGGTAGAGGCCCAACAAAAGCTCAGCAAACCCAAAGGTCACATGGTTCAAATTGCCCTGCTTTGAGGCAAAGTGGCTGGGCATATGCCTGTAGTGACCACTTCTTGGATGCAATCTGTCCCTGGAAGGAGGGGAGGCAGGACCCAGATTTGGGCCTGTCTCCCACCCACACTCCAGCAGTTGGGTGGGTAAGTTCTTCATTCCTGGAGGGGAATCTGGGAGGCATCTCACAGGGTCCACTCTGCAAAGCTGAGTGTATATGAAGAACTCGGTGTCTGTTTAAGTGTTGGTCATGAATCAGGGAAATGAAATCTACTTGTGATGATGGAAACATTGATTGTAACAATGGGGAACACACATGGATTAGACTGTTGTCTCATCTTACCCGACATTAATTTCAGATAAAGAATTGAAAGAAAAAGGAAACAATACACCTAATACTTATTAGCTTGAAGGAGAGGGAAATGCAAGTAAACTTAGATGATGCCAATAAAATGATTAATAGATTTGATCATATGAAACAAAAATTTTAATTATAAATTTTACACAAAATTAAAAGGCAAACAAAACTGAGAACACGTTTGCAATGAACACACAAAAATATTAATGCCTATTAATTTATATTTTATTAGTTCTTTGTTATCCTATCCTTCCTCCCTCTTTCCTTTATTTTACTCAAGCTTCCGCCTACAGAGACCATTCGACCTTTGAGTTTCTGAGTTTGACTTATTTCACTGAGCACTATACTATATTCTCCATTACCATCCATTTACTGGCAAATGCCATAATCTCCTTCTTTTTAGAAAAGTGATCCTGCAAATAAAAAAGAGAAACCCAACACTTATGTTAAAACTACAATGATAACTAATTAGAACAAATTAAAAACAAAACAACAATAACAAAAACCCACAACGAGCTACCACTTCACACCCGTTAGGACAGCTATGATAAAACCAACAACAGTAGTGGAATTGGATCCGTTGCCCCCGCTTGGAACGCTCGCGCGTCCACGCGGCTTTACCGGTCCTTGGCCAGTTGGTGCCCACTCGGTCTCCGCCCGCCTTGTGTCTGCCTCGCTGCGAGGTCTGCAGTATGGCCCGCACGCAAATCTACTGCTCAAACCAGTATTCGAAGAGCACTAGGAGTACCGGTATGCCAGAGAACTTTCCAAACAAGTACTTTCCAAATATGTCCAAAACCCATGTCATCAATGTCTGAAGAGGAGTGGAGGAGACTTGGTGTCCAACAGTTGTCTAGGCTGGGTTCAGTGCATGATTCATGAGCCAGAAACACATACTCTTTCTCTTTAGATGGCCTCTTCCAAAAGAGAAACAAAAATGAAGAGTATTTGGGATCATCAATTAAATCTTTCACAAATTTAATGTATATGTATATATAAGGTAGTATTCAGTGAATACTTGAAAAATGTACAAATTATTCATCCAGACCTGTGCATGACCTGCATTCTTCACAACAGAGCTCAGTCAAATGCAACTACAAATAGGTTATTGTAAATTGCTTAAGATTAAATTTCTTCTAGCAGGGAGCCGTAGTGCACGCTTGTAATCCCAGCAGCTCAGGAGGCTGAGGCAGGAGGATCTTGAGTTCAAAGCCAGCCTCAGAAAAAGCAAGGCACTAAGCAACTCAGTGAGACCCTGCCTCTAAATAAAAAAAATATAAAATAGGGCTGAGGATGTGGCTCAGTGGTCAAGTATTCTTCGAGTTCAATCCCCAGAACCCCCATCCCAAATTCTTCTAGTCAGTTTTTCTCTTAATATAAATGCCTGTTTGATATTTCCTGTTATTTTTGTTGAATAAAATTTTTATGTAAAATAATAATAAAAATAAAACAAACAAACCTCCAGGAAACAAAAAGTGTTATCAAGTATGTAGAGAAATTAGATCCCTCATGCATAGTTGATAGTAATTTAAAATGGTATAGCTACTGAGGGAAACACTATGGGAATTCCTTAAAGAATTAAACATGTGATTACCATATGATCCAGCAATCTAGTCCTGCAGTTATATTCAGAAGCATTAAAAGCAAGGACTTGAACAGATATTTGTAATAAACATAGACAGCAGCATTATTTATAGTACCCCAAGGTAAAAGCTACCAAAATGTTCATTGGCAGATGAATGGATAAACAAAGTGTGACACACAATGGACTGTTATTTGGCCTTAAAAAGAAATTAATTTTAACATATGCTCCAATATGGATAAATATGGAAAACATTATTATGCTAAGTGAGATAAACCGAATCCAAAAGGATAGTTTGTATGATCTACCCATTTATCTGAGATCCCTAGAATAGTCACACTTATAGAGACAGGAAGAAGAGCCGGTGGGGTAGAGGGAAGGAGAAGATGATGGATGGGCAAAGTTTCTGTTTGGGGTGATGAAAAAGTTCTGGAGGTGGATGGTGGTGATGGTTACCTAACAAGGGGAAGGTACTTTATGCTGCAGAACCAGACATTTATAAATGGTTAAAGTGGTAAATTCTATGTTAGGTTCGTTTACCATGATAAGAAAACCCCAACACATCCACGCTGAAAATGTGAGCAGGCAAAAAATATAAACAGGTAACTGAAAAAAACAAAACAACAAAGTGACTTTTAGGCATATAAAATATTAAATTTCATAAATAACAGTAATTTAAATCAAAAGATCAAGATATAATTTGTCACCTCTAAAACTGGAAAAAAATACTTTGTACTAATATTCAATTACAGTATTAGTATTTAAGTATTCTCATAACAGGGCAAAAATTTGTACAAGCTTTCTGGAAAGCATCTTGCAAATTATGCAAATGGTACTTTATTTTTATTAGTGCTTTTTATTTTTTATTTATTTTTAAATTTTTTAATATTTATTTTTTTAGTTTTAGGTGGACACATATCTTTATTTTGTTTTTATGTGGTGCTGAGAATCGAACCCAGTGCCTCACGCATGTTAGGTGAGCACGCTACCACTTGAGCTACCTCCCCAGCCCAGCATTTTTTATTTTATTAATTATATACAGTAGTTGGGTTCATCCCAACAAACTCATTCATGTGTGGAAATTTATTCCAGTTCATGATTCATCTTTCATCCTTCCCCTTCTCCCCTCACCTCTTCTCTTCTCCTCTCTCTAATAGATTTTTGCTTCCTTGTTTTATTAATTTACAATTGATTGGTTCTTCCATGTAATATATATATTTCATTACTTATGAAATTTAATGTTTTACATATGTATAAATCACTTTGTTGTTTTGTGTTGTGAAATGCCTGTTTTATATTTTTGCCTGCTCACATTTCAATGTGGATGTGTTGGGATTTTCTTTCTTTTCATACATATATAATCACAATTTCTTAATCCATTTATCTATTGACAGGCATCTGAAACTTAGCTATTGTGAATTGTTCTGCTATAAACATGAAGTGGCTGTACCATGACAGTATGCTGATTTTAATTTGGGAAAATACCAAGGAGTGGGATAGCTGGGTCCATCCCCAGTTTTTTAAGGAATCTCCATATTGTTTTCCAGAGTGGTTTTACTAGTCCACAGTACTACCAACAACTTTCCAGCATGTATCGTTGTTTATATTCTTTTTTTTGGGGGGGGGTGTTGAACTCAGGGGCACTTGACCACTGTGCCACAACTTCAGCCCTATTTTTTAAAAATTTTCATTAGCAGACTTGGAAAGAGAAATTCACATCAGAACTCAGAGTAAGGCAAAGACACCAACAAAAACCAAAATATCTGTTTTTTCCTTAACTCTTTATAACAACTTTATAATTAACAACTTTATAACTCCCTATAGGGAGGGGCAATTCCTGGGATAGGTTACCTTAGCAACAAGTTGGAGCAGGGGCAAGGGTGGAGGAAGGGCTCTAAAAGAAATTAATATTTCAGTCACTTCATTTTTTGTATCTGACCCTTGCCTATCTGCCTAATTCTGGCTTCACCAGGAGCTGAAATAAACATTCAGAGACAAATCAGCTTTGTTGGCAAGGCAAGAATTTTACGTCTACTTGAAGGATGCACAAGCAGTCAAAGTTGAAATCAGATGCAGGCAGTCTGCTCAGCTTTTTTTTTTTTTTTTTTTATCCCTGACACAAGGGTGATTGGCTGCTGTCCATTGGTCCAAACTGACCACAAAATCTTTGGTGTAAATAGCCACTGAAGAAAGGAACACTTAGCCAGGTCTCCTTGGTTGGAACTGACTGCACTGTCTCCTATTGGGTTATTTAAAGAAATATACCTCAAGTTGTCCCTACCTGCCTTTGTTGCCTTCTGGTGGGAAAGTCCTGTTGGGTTGAATGCCTTTTGGTCTATGGGTGCTGGGTTTGTTGTCTCCTTTCAGCAAAGAATTGAACAGGACACAAAGATAGAAAGCAAGAAGAAAGTTTATTGAAGAGAGAGAGAGAAGAGAGATACAGAGATAGTCTTCTCCAAAAACAAAGGGCCCCAGAGCTGGGAATCCAGTGGGGAGTGTTGGCCTGTTCTCTTTATTGTCTCTGGATTTCCTCCTTCCCTTACTTCCTCCTCTGTCCACATGCTCTTCACTATTATTGATTGGTGGCCCCTCTGTCCATGCATCTGTTTTTGTTTTTCTATTGAAAAACACTTAGGAGCACAAGCATGGAAGTGTCTGCCTGACTGGATCCCCTGTGTGTGTTAACGAGCACTTTTGTCAAGCAGGAGATGATCTCATCAGAAGACCCCTCTCCATGCTCCTTTGTTCTAGCCCTGTCCCCGACCTCCTTGCCCTCCTAGCCATCTTGCCCTGGCTGCCTAAGCCCCTCTATCTCTCCCTAACCCTAACCCTCACTTTGTTCTCATGCAGTGGGAAAGTGTTCTCCGGTTGAATGCCTCTTGGCATGTACACTTAGGAGAAAGTGAAGTCTGGGGAAGTACAGATTTTAAAAAGGTAGGCAGCCATTGAAAGAAATTGGCAGTCAGGAAGTGAGGGAGTTAGAATGGAGTTTCTCCAGTTTGACAGAAAAGACTGATGAGCTTGTTTCCCTCCATGGCAGAAGGTACCACTTGAACAAAGAACTCGAAGTGAAGAGCAAGTGCTGTGAATATTTGTGGTGGAAAATTCAGGAAAGGGGAACAGAAAGGGACCAAGGGCTAGACTATGTGGGTGTACCTGAGGAGATATCACAGAGACCTCTGGGCCTGGCCGGTGTGGCGTGAACAAGGGTGAGTTTGATAGGAAATGAGGTGTGAAATTTAGTGGGGCCAGGTCAATAGGCCTTGAAGGTCCTGGTTAGGAGCTTGGGCTTTACTCTGAGGGAAACAGGAAGCCTTTGGAGGGTTCTGAGCTGAAGTCCTGATTTCAGTTTTAAAAGAAGCACTGGCTACTAAGAGTCAAGGGTGGAAGCAACACAGATCAGTTAGGAGGTTATTAAAATTCCAGACAAGACAAGATGTGCCTGGGACTGATAGATTGTATTTTGAAGGTGGAGCTGATGGATCAGATATGGGATGTGAGATGAAGACAGGAACCTGGTGACTGTAAAGGATTTTGTTTGCTTATGTTTTTGTTATTGAGACAGGGTCTCACTTATGTTTCTCAGGCAAACAATCCTCCCCTGCCTCAGCCTGTGTTGTGGTTTAGGTCTGGAATGTTCCTTAAAATGTTCATGTTTGGGGAGCATAATCCCCAATGCAGTGAGGTTCAAAGGTGAGTTTAGGGGGCAATGATGAGGGCTCTGACCTCATAGGTGAATTAATCCATTTGCTGGATTAATCCATTGATAGTTGAATGGACCACTAGGTGATAACTGCAGCCAGTGGGAAATGGCTAGAGGAGATGGGTCATTGGGGGTACAACCTTGGGAAAGAAACATGTCTCTCTGTGGCCCCCTTCCTCCCTCTTCTGTCTTTCTCTCTCTCTCTCTCCCCACTCCCCCTTCTTCCTGGCTGCCATGAGCTGAACAGTTTTCCTCTGTCACATCCTTCCATCCTGATGTTCTGCCTCACCTCAGGCCCAGATCAATGGAATCAGTGGGATTGGCTGACTGTGAACAAAAACCTCAGATACATTTTTTCTCTAAGTATTTCTTGTCAGGTATTTTGGTCACAGAAATGAAGATATGACCACAAAACCTGATCCCAGGGTTTTGATCTGAACAAGACTGAATTTTGGTCTTAATTACTGAGATGAAGAATACTATTGGAGAAGGAGATTTGGGGAGCAAGGAATCCAGGGACTGACTCTGGAAAGGTTAAGTGGGAGGTACCTTCTGGGAATCAAGTATAGAATCAGTCTGAGTATTTGGAAGCATGAGTCTGGAGATTAGAAGTGAAATCAAGGCCACAGACATTAACGTGGAAGCTAAAAGTGCATGGATAAGTAGTTAGGGTGTGGACAGAATGAAAACATCTGGATAGTGGAGTAGAATGGATAAGAGCCCTGGATACTCCAATATTTGGAGTTAGGAAGAGGAGGGAGCATCAGCAGAGAGGACTGAGGTGGGGCAGTGAGTAGAGGAAGACCAGAAAGTCTTCCAAAAAAAGACCATCTGCCCCCCACTTTCTGTACAAACTGATTATAAGCGTGCATCAAAATTTTGTGTTAAGGGCTGGGGATGTGGCTCAAGCGGTAGCACGCTCGCCTGACATGCGTGCGACCCGGGTTCAATCCTCAGTACCACATACCAACAAAGATGTTGTGTCCGCCGAGAACTAAAAAATAAATATTAAAAATTCTCTCTCTCTCCTCTCTCACTCTCTTTTTAAAAAAAAAAAATTGTGTTAAACTTGCTTCAGTGGGCTGAAGCAAGATGGAGCTCAGTGGTAGAGCACGTAGTTACCCTTTGTAAGACCCTGATGAGGAGTGAGGACCCGGTGTAAGGATGATAGAGGTTCCCCCGACATCAGAATACAGTCCAATTGAAAATTTTTCTGCAACGCATCTTGCAAATTATTGAGGTGTTTTAAATGTTCACATTTATTGATCCAAAATCCAATCACTAGGGAGCTATTCTAAGGAAATAATTGGAAACACAGGTACAAATAGATTCATAGGAATCCTTATTATAGTATTTTAACTCTGAAAAAGATGAATCAACCTAAACACCTATTAGTAGAACTTGGTTAAATAAGTGTTAGCATATTCATTCATTTTTCCATTCAATAAGTATTTTTAAGTGTGCCAGGTACTTGAAAGGGCTTCGTCATGGATCAGGAGGGGTGGGAGGGAGTCTTTGGTGCTATCTACAAGGCAAAAAGACATGAGGTCAGTTTTATTATTCTGAATATGGGACAGCAACGTCAAAAAGTGCCATTGGATGAGTGCCTGATGCTAAGTGCCTGATGCTAAGAACTGCTCACAGTGTCCACCTGGAGAGTAATCAAGACTGGCCCAATGATTAGGGCTTTGACCTCATGGGTTTTGCTGGATTAATCCATCTCTGAGGCACAGCCCAAGGTCATATAACATTCAGTGTTTTTTCAGTTTCTTTAGACTCAAGGAATCTCCTATAGTTCTATTATTATGCTTATAATTGTCTATGGTCATAAAATTTAAAAAAACAGCAAAAAAGCATAGGTCCCATTAAATAGGGTAGGTGAGGTAATAACTCTCTGCCATGAGATACAATAGGGAGAAAGCAAATCATAATTTTTTTTTTGTACTGAACCCAGAGGTGCTTACCACTGAGCTACATCTAAAACCCATTTTATTTTTTATTTTGAGACAGGGTCTCATTCAGTTGCTGAGGCTGCCATCCTCTTGTCTTACCCTCTGCTGGGATTATAAAAGTGTGCCATCAGACCAGCCAAATAACAACATGTTGCTGCATCATGTTAAAATCAAATTGTTATTCAAGGATTATTCCTCTTCCAGTATACTAATTCTCTCCTCCCACTATACATGCAACTTAAAAATTAATTCATTTTAACATATTTCAGTATGTGGGTATTTTAAATGTACATTAATATATACAGTTATATTAAATTATGACAAATGAAAATATCTAAAGCTTTAAAATTTAGCATTTAAAATATAATCTTATTGAGCTGGACGTGGTGCCACACGACTGTGATCCCAGAGACTGGGCAGCAGAGGCAAGAGAATGGCAGCAGGGACTAAATGAGACCCTGTCTCAAAATAAAAAAATAAAAAGGGCTGAGGAGGTAGTTCAGTGGCTTCAATTTCATATATATATAATTTTTTCCTTATCAATTGTTATCAATCACATTACAATTCTTATTCCATGGACTTTAACCTCTTGATTTGAGAATCATTAAGAAAGCATGTTTTCTTATTTATAGGAACAAGATAATATAGTAATAATTGTGTGTTGACCAGGGAATTTTTTTTTTTAAGAGATTGAGTCTCCCTATGTTGTCCCGGTTGGCTCTGATACTCTTTTTTTTTTTAAAAAAAAATATTTTTAAAGTTGTCAATGGACTTTATTTATTTATATGCAGTGCAGAGAATCAAACCCAGGGCCTCACACATGCTAGGCAAGCGCTCTACCACTGAGCTATGACCCTAGCCCTCCGGGTTGGCTCTGAAATCCTGGTTTAAGTGATCTTCTTGCTATCTTCTCGAGAAGCTGGGACTACAGGCACATGCCACTGTGCTCAGCTGACCAGGAATCTTTTACTTTTCCTCCTTCTCTTTCTTCTCCCCTCCTCCTCTTCCTTCTCCCCTCCTCCTCCTCATCTTCCTCCTCCCCTCCTCCTCTTTCTTCTCCCCTCCTCCTCCTCCTCTTCCTCCTCCTCCTCTTCCTCCTCCTTCTCTTCCTCCTCCTCCT